AATAAAGTTTTAGATTTTAGCCCGCTGGCCCGCCAGCCCGCCCAGTTCACACTGCTAGCCCGCTACACTGCCAGCCCGCCACTTCACACTGCCAGGTAATGTATCATAACGTTTTTATGTTCAATCAATAAAGTTTTAGATTTTAGCCCGCTGGCCCGCCAGCCCGCCCAGTTCACACTGCTAGCCCGCTACACTGTTAGCCCGCCCACTTCACACTGCCAGGTAATGTATCATAACATTTTATGTTCATTAATAAAGTTTTAGATTTTAGACCCGCTGGCCCGCCAGCCCGCCCAGTTCACACTGCTAGCCCGCTACACTGTTAGCCCGCCCACTTCACACTGCCAGGTAATGTATCATAACATTTTTATGTTCATTAATAAAGTTTTAGATTTTAGCCCGCTGGCCCGCCAGCCCGCCCAGTTCACACTGCTAGCCCGCTACACTGCTAGCCCGCCCACTTCACACTGCCAGGTAATGTATCATAACATTTTTATGTTCAATCAATAAAGTTTTAGATTTTAGCCCGCTGGCCCGCTGGCCCGCCAGCCCGCCCAGTTCACACTGCTAGCCCGCTACACTGTCAGCCCGTCCAATTCACACTGCTAGGAAATGTATCATAAGGTTTTAATGTTGAATCAATAAAGTTTTAGATTTTAGCCCGCTGGCCCGCCAGCCCGCCCAGTTCACACTGCTAGCCCGCTACACTGTTAGCCCGCCCACTTCACACTGCCAGGTAATGTATCATAACATTTTTATGTTCAATCAATAAAGTTTTAGATTTTAGCCCGCTGGCCCGCCAGCCCGCCCAGTTCAAACTGCTAGCCCGCTACACTGCTAGCCCGCCAACTTCACACTGCCAGGTAATGTATCATAACGTTTTTTATGTTCAATCAATAAAGTTTTAGATTTTAGCCCGCTGGCCCGCCAGCCCAACCAGTTCACACTGCTAGCCCGCTACACTGTTAGCCCGCCCACTTCACACTGCCAGGTAATGTATCATAACATTTTTATGTTCATTAATAAAGTTTTAGATTTTAGCCCGCTGGCCCGCCAGCCCGCCCAGTTCACACTGCTAGCCCGCTACACTGTTAGCCCGCCCACTTCACATTGCCAGGTAATGTATCATAACGTTTTTATGTTCAATTAATAAAGTTTTAGATTTTAGCCCGCTGGCCCGCCAGCCCGCCCAGTTCACACTGCTAGCCCGCTAGACTGCTAGCCCGCCCAGTTCACACTGTTAGCCCGCTAGACTGCTAGCCCGCTCAGTTCATACTGTCAGCCCGCTAGACTGCTAGCCCGTTAGCCCGCGTACTTCACGGACATGGTTATTGTTTTATAAATCCAGGTTTCATTAATAATTGTTTAAGAAAATGCCGGTGTCATTTTTAACTAGAGGGGGAGTGTGTAGATAAGGTTGAAATTAGCAAAGTTATCTTTTTAGAATGTTTACAGTAGTAATTTCCCTTAAAGGCCAAACCAAATCTTTTGTGGTGTTATGTGTTCATGTTTGTCTTTGTTCCTATGTTATGGGTGATTAAACTGGTTTTGCAAGTGATGGATGATTGATTTTGTATGAAAGTTATTTTTAGTTGATTTGGTTCTAGAATGTAATATTTTCTTGATAACTGACCACTCCTTGTCTCGTTTTCGAAGTGAAAAGATCTAAAATATAGTGAGCTTTAAGTTATTTCTTTATAGACATGCTTGCTTTTTATTTACATTAATTATTAAATAAGAATCTCTTCTATCAAGCCTGGTGTGTATATTTGTATATATTTATTTATTTGTGAAATTGTTTTTATTGTAATTTGAATTGTTCTGTAATATTTTGTATTATGTATTTTGTGAAATGTATTTGTCTTGTAAAATATTTGTTTGTAATGTGATGTCTTATTGTTGTTTTATTTTATTACAGGTTTTATTCTTGCTAGAATAAATCATATAAACATATCAAGTGTTTATTGACATTAACCCCACCACTACACCTGTTACATAGAATTCTGACCAAATAATCCTATCACTAGAATATTGTGGTGAACTACGATCTTTTAAGACAAAAATAAAAAAAACAAAGAAAGTACTTTTTGGTCATTAATGCTTTTTGGTCAAAAATGCTTTCGATATGAAAAATGAAACTGGAACTATTCATTTCCGTCTGTTGCAGGGTGTATTTGTTCATCGTAAAAATAAACAAATCACTATGACTGGCCAAACTGTCTTTCTTACAAAACAATTGCTACTTTGTACACTAAGAATCAGATTACAATGAAATGTGGCCCTTTGAATTCTAAATACGATACATTAGTTGAGTAACAGTCAATTTAGTTTAAACCCATTTATAATGATTTAGTGACAAACACATATTAAATTAATCAAAAATATAAAATTTTATATATTTTCAGATCATAGTACGTATATAAATCATTATGATGTTTGATGCTGTGTCAACTAGTATTGTATATAAATAAATTTTAGTATGTTAGTGTCAAGTTACTGTTTTTAACAATAGAACAAATAAAACCGTCTTTAGCAGGCAGGGTTCATGCACCTCTCAGTCGCGACATCAGAAAGAAAGCATTGAGAGTTGTTTCCCTTACATTTTCATAAGTGACATTCATTATCTTTATATAAGTTTTCATATGCAGCATTTTTATATTTATCAAGCTAAAACATATATAATGTTACCATATAGGGCAGTTATATCTTAAGAGATAGCATAATGACTGTCCTTACGTAAATAACGTAAAAAAAACAACATTATAAAATTCAAACAGATTCAGACGATTTCTCCAAAGATAAACATAATAAGTTTTGTTAATAATACCTCACATCCTTTCAAATGATTTTATGGGCCTTAAACATGCATTAGAATATAAACTTTTTGTTGGCATGGAAATGTGATAATGTATATATCAGTTTGGATATAATGAAACTGATTTACTATACTCCTATAATACTTTTACAATTGTAACATCATGTCTAAATGTTAAATATGTTTTTAAATAAAGTATTTCGTCGATTGTGTCATGGTAATTTAAAATTTCAGTAAGTTTTACAATTGGTATAATACAATTTACAATTGTGTTTGTGCATGCGTGCGTACGTGGTGATAATGGCATGAATGTGCTACAAGTATAGAGCCAGGCCAATACATACACGCCATGTAACCAAATAAACGACAAAACTGCAGCATGTGTGCAGTACACCACCTTGTACAAATGTACGTACATACAGGAGAGTAAAAGTTAATATTCTAATTCATAAATCCTGTAAATGTCTTAAATGCAAGATTGCATGCATTAATACTTGAATTTATTCATTGTCAACACTTGCATGTTAGTTTTATTGCATTATAATTCTATTTAAGTATAAAGTATAATGTTGTTTTTTTACTTCTTGCATGCAGACGCGGCAGGAGATGTTTCATCTATCAAATATGAACTTTGTCATATTCATACCCGTGAAATCATTTTAAGGGTTGGGGGTTGGTTACGTCGCACCAACATAGCAGAGGTTATGCCTCCAGTTATAGTCAGTCTTGATTGTTAGAGAGTATCATGTAGATGTAAATATGGCGACTAACCAGCTTTTATTTGTTCAGAAAGACCTGATGTGGTCCTCTATGCACTATTTCAGGATCGAACTTGTGCCTGGAAACGTATAGAATATATAGCAATTAATTGAAGCATTTGGTGAAAATCGTTGTAAAGTCAAGCGCGTTTTATGCACATTGAGGGGAGTGGGGTGGGGGGAGGGGGTGATGTCTTCGATTTCAACTTAACATTTTTAACAATTAGTAACGAAACCTTACTAAAACTCTTTTAGAGTAACATGTACAAGGTAACGAACACATATTTATATATGTATTTCGTACAAATATTAAGGTCAAAAAGGCACAAAGTTCTCACATTTTAATGTGCTGAACTACCTTTCGTCCATCACCTGCGTATTATTTGTTTATATAATATATTATGACTATCAACTCTCAAATTTAGAACAATCTAAGCTTTCCTTGGTTATATGTGTCATCTCGGGCAGATAGGTCAACAGGTTAATTCAATCAAAATTTTAACCATTCAAAAGGTCAAATAGTTTACAAAATATTAAAGACAATAAAAATTACCGTCTTTTAATTTTTTACAGATTTTTATACAGAGAAAAAGGAGTAAAAAATAAGGTTCAAAGATAATTGAATCAAAATTACATGTGCTTAAATCGTTTAGATTAACTGTTATTCAGAATTCTTCTTTTTATTAACAATCATTTGTCCTTCACTGGCTTATAGATTTATTAAAGTTGACATCTTACGATTGATTTCAAATACTTCATTGTTTTTAAACAAAAAGAATTTCAAACACTAAAACAAGAGTTTGCCCCACTTTGATAAATCTGTCTAGCTTTGTTGCTTAATTTTAAAACCCATTATGTCTCATAGAGCTTTTAATGCTATTTCTCAGCTTTTTAGTTTTTGGTGTCCAAAAGTACTCATTGCCCAGATACATTTTTGCTTCTGTCTTTATTAACTAATCAGTACATATTTTGATTTAGTATTTGGTATGGAAGTAAAAATGTTACTTTGTTTATATTTTCAAATTATTTCATATTCAATGCAGGCAATGTGCATTTAACATGCTCTTAAACCATTTTTAAAAGGTGATAAAATTTGAATTTCATCTTTCTTGAGAAGGTAGAATATTCGTTACTAAGGCATAATGTATTTAATTAAAACGTACGCAACGACAAAATAAAAGTATTAGTCAAATCTTGATTTTCTGTTTACAGAAAAATGTATATTTCTGCTAAGTAAATGTTTCTTCGTTTACATAAGATTCTTAAATGGGATAAAGTGCAAACAATAAGGTCACGAATTGAAAGTTTATTTCGGTATAAATGGGTTAACTAAGATCGTTTGTATTAAGTCTGCGATGTGAACATATGGATCTATCAAAATGTGCCATGTCTACTTATATCTGTATTTAGAACTGAACAGAAATGATGATAACAAGTTACTTAATATAAATTGTGACCAACTATAAATACGAATCAAATTGAGGACCAGTATCATTGTCTTACTCAGCTGGCGATCAAGAGGAACATCATGCTCAGGATTCTACTAGCTTGTTTTGTCTGTGTTTCATATGTTATGGTAACGTATTTATGTTTCAGCTTTTTCATTTATAGAATTGATATAGGACTTAAGTCACCTGAATCATATATGCTTTATTTCTTATACAAAGTAAAGGCACATTATGTTTTAGAAAAACAAATAATAATTTATTTTTTTAGAAAAGGCAAACATGAGTTTCATAACGTTTCAATATTGGTTTAAGAGCATGTTAGATCCTTGTTACCTGAAAAAATAGCTCTAAATGTGAAATAATTTGTCATAAATAAAGAAAAATGTAAACATATTAGTATTTTGACTTCCATACAAAATACTAAAATTTATATAACTATACTGATTTCCAAAGAAAACAGCAGAAGAAAAAGATGGTACTGTTAACTAACGAACTAGGGAAGTATCCCCAAAATAAGCATTTGTAAGGACATGGTGGGCCTTAAAATATAGTATGTGCGATGTGTTTTAATCATATTGGATTGAATGAGATCTAGCCGAGCGTAAGTTTTGATATGTCTTCATACTATACTCTCGGTAGTGATCTTATTTGTAAGTCGGAAACGTATAAATTAATTCATACCCTAAATTTGAATCATGAAAAACTGACACATATATAATCTACTTGAAAAAAATATTTTCATTTATTTTATGCTTTTCAGTGGATTACTGATTTATCCGTGAAAATTATATTTGATAATTTCAGTGAAAATTATCAAAATATAATTTCACTTTTTTCAATGACAAAAACTACTTTTTTAAGATTTTCCCCATGTGGTACCTGAATTTTATTTTTACTGATAATTCTGCCAATATCAGGCTGTTAAAAAAATAGCAAAGCTGAAATAGATAAATAACTTAAATGTCAAAAGTAATAAAGAGAAAAAACTTACTTTTATTCCTTCAAATTCCAATCACAAAATTTCGTCTCTAAATTTTTTTGTTTCGTTTTTACAGTCTGAAAAATACATTCCTTCCCCATGCTAAACTGCTCTTGATGACATTTGGACATATTAAAGTATTCTACGAGCAATAACTGCCATATGCTTTATGAAAAATTGAAAAGCATTGACAGCCATCACTCGTAAAATAAGTAAAACAACCCAGCGTTCCTTACAATGCCTTAGCAAGCTTCCAAGTTTTCCATTTTCCTAGCTCCTTTTCTGAATGTTTTCGCTTCTGTCAACACTTATTTTTTGTCTGTTACAATCCTCAAATAAGTTTTTTTTCTTTTAAAAAGGTGTATGACTAACTGATCCAAATTATATCCTTCTGAATCTTACACAATTATTTTCCTCCCATGACATACACAACTTTAAAAAATGGCTGCCGCTTACATTTTACAAAGCCAGGTCTAATATAAATTCGCAGTAAGTAACAGAAATTTGGATGGATGGGTGGACTTTTTCTCCTACAAGACTTGTTTGTTTTTATTATTAAAACAAGCGATCATTCATATTTTTTTCAATAAAATGAATAAATATCACCGTCATTTAACCTTGATTAGTGGACTTATTTCTCAGCTCAAGACTTCTTGTTTTTAATGAGAAATTCCCTCTAAATGGGGCTCTCAATGGGGGAAACAGATTTTAATATTAACGTTAAAATTATGGAAATTTCGTTTTAACTTGTTTTAAAGCATAAAATAAAAAGAAAATGTGTCTGTTTGTTGTGTAAGATGTAAGTTTATTTCATCTTACACACAAACAAACAAATATCGTCTATATCATATCAAAACAGATTTATTTTGTATCATTAACATAAAAAAGTAAAAGAATTTTTCAACTATTCACAAAGTTGTGGATATCAACATTAATTTACACAATGATGCGGTAGCCATTGTTGTCCTACTCATTACTGCTGGATTTATAGCTAGCAAATAAAATTGGAATACTTAATCAAACGTTACTGTACATGTGTATTCTTTTTGATATGCCCAACACGATAATAGTGATTTCATCTCAAATTATGATACCGCTATAAGGTACTATCTAAGGATATCCGTTAATTTTGAAATTTAACGCTAATTCTGATAATTGAAATGCTAATTCTGTGTAATATGTATAATACAACATGGTTTGTTTCAGTGTATGACAACAACACAAAGACCTCACCATGTTCATAACCACAATCACACACATAACCATTCGCACCATCACACCAACACCACGAGGGAGCCTCCAGCGAGAGAATCTTTCAAGTTTATCTACGAGTCTCACTCTGTAAGTGATTGTTTTGTTCCACGATAACGTTACTATGTTATTTTATAATAAAAATTACTAAAATAGCTATACATTTTGTATATTTAAATGCTTTTTGACAACACATAGATTGCATGGACACTTATACATGATTCAACCCCATCCTGAACATATACAATAATATAATTCAAGTATATCTAAAATTTGATAAACTTAAAATATATTTTCAGCAAATGATGGTTGTAGTTAGCGCCAAGGAATGTTACGTATTTGCATTAAGCGACAGTGAAAAGTCGGCTATCCACACAGACGCTGGTATACGGGCAGTAGAGGTAAGCTTTATTTGTCTTTTTGAAACCGACCTAAAAATAACGTAATTGCCGGGGTACATTTTGTCGTATATTTTTGGTACAAATCTGATTTTTTTTTCTTCGATCGTTATTTAGTTTATTTGTTAATACATAATCAAAGTTTATATACAATAATAATAAAAATAATAATAATAATAATAATAATAATAATAATTATAATAATAATAATAATAATAATAATAATAATAATAATAATAATAATGATAATTATAATAATACTTTTGAACATTTTTTATTCCTTTCGTTGTAGTATAGTTTCAAATATTTCCCATAATCAAAAGTGTCGCGTTTAATTTATTGCAGCTGCGTTTACTGAGCGCTTTAAGTACCACTGCTGTGACGACTATAACCAGAGATCAACTGGATCCTAAGGCAGCACATGCATGTGGCGGACATGCAACGACATTCTACAAGGAATCCAGTTCATGAATTGATAAGATTGTACATGTGCAAGAATTGAAATAAATGATAATTAAATGTTGTCATTTTAGTTGTTAATTGCTAGACAGTAGAACAGTGGCTTGTTTGACTCAAAACAGAAGTTAGAGAAATAAGGACAACGGTTTGTTCGACTCCAGAGAAATATAAAACAACAACAACAACATTATCACTAAATGAGAGTGTACAATATACTGTTTTGTTAGCTAAAACGATAGATCAATTAGGCGCATTAAGAAAGATGATAATGTTAAATAAAACATGCAACCCTGATATACCATCGTCCGTATCGTGGACCAAATTTTTCATAAAAATCAGTATTTTGAATGAAATTATCAGATAATTCAGTTCAAATTCAAGATTTTGTCGGATCGAAAGGAACTGTTATTTCTACAAGAGAATTCTCTGGAAATTGTTTGAAATATAAGTCTAATTCTATTATGTTAGGATTAATTATTTTAGGCACATGTTGTGCCATAACATATTTCTTTGAGTTAATTGTATCTATTTTGTAAATTAATAATGCACAGAAATATTTATGAAAATAAGATTTGAAATATTGTTTCCATTTTTATGATTTACAGACTTTCTATCATGATGTCAGGATTTTAAAGTACTTGGACGTGTTCTCAGCCAATATACAACTTCTTATACATTGTATCAAGTTCATATGCAACTCGTCAACTGCCATTTACATATTTTGAAATAGATCCTGTAATATAAAATAAACGCTTATAAAAGAAAGATAATGGTCTGTGTTTGTATGTAAATAAAATATCTGTTAAGAACAGAAAATATAAAATCCTACAATTTATTGGCAATAATTATATATTAAAGTAACATAGATACATGATACATGATCGTTTACTTTACCTTGCACTGATTTTTACGACCATCATTAATTGCAGTTTTACACTGCTATTATGTCAAGCTCATCTTTTATATAAGAAACTATATATTTTATCTGGTTCCCTTATACCTACAAAAGTAATAAAGGATGTTATAAATACTCTTACAGCAAAAGTCATGCATAATTAAATGTCATACTATTAGTATTAAATTATTTTCATCTATTTTTCCAGATAATGTTATATTGCGTAATGTAGTTACAGTTATTTTTTAAAGCAAAATTAACAGAAAAGGCATTTGGTTTGTAATTCATACTGAAAACTTAAAACAAAAAGAGCAAACGAAAATTAAGAAGACATAAGTTGAAAATCTATTTTGGTGCTATTCTAAGCAGATATCCGTATTAATTATCATCATTCTATTAGGTCAACGCCAAATCAAGCCGGTGTTTACGTTACATCTTATGTTTAGATACCAGCGTCTGTGTGTATATATAAGATGTTTGACAGTAGTATTCTTACTCATCCTACAGTCCATGGACCGGCTCATTTTAAACAAATTGGCAACTGTTTTTTAACACAATGTAAAGACGATTCAGGTATTCCACATTTGGCCAGAATACAAATTACAGGGTAGCTCAAACTCGTTATATACTCTTTATTTCCATATTTAAGTGATTTACATAATAATACAATGTTATAAAGTGAAAATAACAAATAAACATATAACAATTTTGCAACATGAAAATATAAATTGAAAATAGCGTAAATATCAAATTCAGAATATTATATTTAAGCTAAAAGTAATTATCGAATAGTCAACAAGCATGTCAGATGTTAAAACTTAATACACACTTAGAATAAATAGAGCACAGACAACCATTTCACAAATCATTGTTTTACTATTAATTAATTTATTTATTCATTTATTATGGTCTCATCTATACATGTTTATATTATATACAACCCATAGATAAAAAAACTCACAAAAATAGCCATTCTAAAATAGTCATTCTTTAAAGAATTAAGAGAGACGGAGAAGAAAGATAAACCTGAAAAGAAAAGGCAAACACAATTAAATGGGGACAACTCCAAATCCCATATTACAGCAACTTACGATGTCTATGTACTGCAGACTTATCTCCCTTGAATTGCACACCCACACACATGCATCTACATAAAACACAACACATATAGCCAGTTCCTACATGAGAATTACAAGAGACTGATATATACACTATATACACATTATTCACAAACATAAAAGAGTAAAATATTTTCAAAAAGCTGTAACACATATTTGATGACATAAATTCATGAAATTACGTTCAACATTTAATTAAATGTAACTGATAAACTTAACTGTCACTATGAAAGGGGGACGGGGAAATCATTAGCTATTTACACAAATATAAATACCTTCTATTTAAAAATTTTGAAGCTGGTTTTGGTTTATGTTGAAACAAACATGTAAACACAACTTTCGGTTAAGCATTGCCATTAAATCATTTAAAATTGTGTTCAGGAAAAATAGCCCTGCTTAACATTTTATTCCTTATACCCTCATATATATAATTGCAAAATAACACATGTAACTCTGTCTGTTCTATATCACAGAACGGACACTTTCTGTTTTTATTAGTGACGTTTTCCTATTTCAAGATTACAAGTTCCAAGCTTTCTATAAAAAGTATAAAACCAATTCTTTTATGACAAATTGCATTTTGTCATGCCTAATCTACAATCCGTTTGGTAACACAAGGCTCTTCTGATTACCATTTCGAAACCTACAATGTGGCAATTTGCTTCCCTTGTCTCACAAAAGTCGTAAGATGAATTTTATCTTTTCTAAGTAAACCTTTCAACAATTTACTTTCATTGAAACACATAGTTTTCTATAGACTTGTAAATTCATCAATGAACAATGGTTTGACAAACTTTTGGGTTAAAAATATAACACAACAGTAAAAAGCTGCTAAAATCTCTGACCGAATTGACACTGTTTAAGATATCAATGTCTCACAATAATACTATTCTAAGAAAGTGTTATATGTACAAGCATAGGTAATTGTTTATGGATAGATAAATGCATACATTCAAATGAACTTAAATTTTGTTAACTAGTAATCAGCAAAATTTGGACTTTGGCCATTTTCAATATAACAGGAATGTAATACACATACAAATACAATACATGTCTTAGTACATTTCAACAATTTATCAGTCGATATTGAAAATTAAATAAAAGACCTAGTGTTCTTATAAATAAAGAATTCGTATGATTTTAACACTTACTGACATAGTTTTCTTATTGTTATACATCAGTTACTTTCGTAAATGTTTCTTCTGGACACATTGTTTTACAACTCAGATCCCTCTGCCAACCATAATGCATGTACATGTATTTCAGTTCAGGTTTATTTAACAAATCGACATAAGAGCAAGCATTTGACCAATTTAACAATTGTATAGTGAAGAATATGGTCAAGACAACATAAACATATAAACAGTTAATATAGCATAGCATACATAAATTGTCAACAAACAAACAGTAAAATGTATTGATATTATGCAAATTTAGAAGCAACTTCTACATCGACAAATCCTTTTCTTATTTGAAATGCTTCATACAAATATTTGACATAATGTTTAAAAAATATTCCTGCTGGACCATGAACAATTAATTGACCATTTGTTTTTTCTCATTTTTGAATATATGGAACACGTTAACAAAAAGTGGTATTCATATTTAACTAAATTGGCATTACAAGCTTTACAGAATTTTTAATTTCTATGCGTAACTTGATATCTACCGACTTCAATTTCTAAACCTAACATGTATCTTTATTAACACATTCCAAATTCTGTTTCAACCAAAACATTGTATAAATTCTATAATATTTCAATATGGACATGTCTTCTACACATTCACACCACTTTTGTACATATTCACCTCATAACCTCTGTTGTAAAATAGGGGGGGGGGGAGTTGTAATTGTCTCTAGAAATGAAATGGATGTAACTACATCCTTAGTCATCTACTAATATATAAATGGTATATTTGTTTGTTTGTTTGGGTTTTACGTCACACCGACACAGTATAGGTCATTTGGCGACGTTCCAGCTTTACTGGTGGAGGAAGACCTCAAGTGCCCTTCCGTACATTATTTCAGGCACGAACGGGCACCTGAGTAGAACCACCGACGTTCCGTAAGCTGGCTGGATAGCTTCCTCATATGAAAGAATCCAAAGTACCTGTCGAACCCACAGCTGTGAGGGGCAAGTGGTATAAATCGTATACATGTATGGTGTATGTCCAAAAAATATTATGATCAATGTTACATTGTTCAATATATATATATATTTTTTTTCAATACGGTATTTTTGTCAAAAACATCTCATTTATTTTCTATTTATATTACTAATAGTGTCAAACTACTACTTATTTTAACCTAAAGAAATGAGAGCTAAGTCATATTTCAGTAAGTTCATTCCTCATATTACCATTTAAAAGTTTAAAAACAGACTGAAGCATTTAGCAAAGGCTATGGTTACAATAACTTTCAGATTTATTTCCGAAATTAGAAATACATTTACTCTCAATCGAAAATAATGGAAATGATGATAAAAATACCGTGAGACACTGCAACATGTCTGAAGCTGAATAGCTAAACTAACCAACATACTGCAAGAATTTTTTTTAAAGATCATTACATATGTAGTGCTTGCGTTATTACAACGGTATATTATTTCATTGATGCGTATTGTTTATCACATTAACTTTGTACTGTGTATTATTTACTAGTAAATGAGTATGCTTGAAATTATTAACGTTGCGTTGTTTCCGTTTGATACTATGTAATGCATAACGGACTATTTAAAATGTATTCAAAATATAATTTAATGGAAATTTAATTTAAATCGTAACAATATTTCCTGTCACCCTGTTGTTGCCAGTTGCAACAGGTTTTTGTCTGTTTAAGGTTTTTAAATTGCGTTATTACTTTTTGTAGCTGCGTCTTTAACCATAAATATTTATAGATTGTATTAAACATGGTTATCTAAAGTTAAAACTAATCATTTACTTATTAGATACCTAATTGTTGTAAAACAATTATACATGCATCAATCGTTTTATCAATCTCCTCTTCACTGGGATATCTTTTTTGCAGCGTGGCAACAGCTTGTCGAATTTTCTTTGATTCAGCATGAGCTTCGTTTCTGTGAAGCTCTATCGAAGTCGAAACTAGAAAGCCTATATCAATGGGAAGAAAGACGGCACTTACGACCCCACCAACAATATGAAACCCCTTTGCTGTGTTTCCAAGTGTACGGAATACAGGTACAACAGTTGATGTTACATCAGATGCAATGTCGATGGTTTTGCCGAGTTTAATAGCATTCAAAACAGTACTCGCAACCATTTTCCAACCAAAACTAGAAAGGGTTTTCCCACTGCCCAGCATGAGCTTGCCCCAGAATGAGCTCCAGTTTGGAAATATTATGTCTATATCTCCGAATGTTTCTAACTGTGTTGACAGATTATTGCATTTCTTAAGTATCTCGTTAAAGGCTGTATTACATTCTTCAAGCTGGGCTTCCGCATTTTTGCTAGCTTTCTTTGACTTAACATAGTCAGCTATCGATGCGCCACCAGTAACAATCCCACCTGCGCCCCCGATAATGCCTCCTGATATACGAAAAATAAATATTTCCTCAAACATCCTAACATCCTAAAAAATCCTAGTTATTTGAAGTGATATTTATATATAAATGTACGATAACAATGTATCATAAAATATTTGGACGAGGTGTGTTTCAGAATAAATGGAACTTTACAAAAATATCATAAGAATAAATTAATTAGGCATTAATTGTTTTAGATCTGGGCAATTAACTATTTTTTGCAACCCGTACTTGCCTAAGAGTTAACGACTGTGAGAAAGGTTTTGTACTTAAATATTATCTATATATTTCCCAGCGTTCCAACATGAAGAAATGTTGCGGTTCAAGACTTTTACTGAGAATATGTAACAAAACTTGAACATATATAATCTCAAAAGGTATGGCAAACGCTTTCTTGCTAAAAGCCTCAACAGACGGTAGGATTTAGGTGTACAACACTAATTAGAGACAAGATGTACAATTTTCAAAGCAATACAACATTCGCATTCAGACGGTAATTCTACACTGTAGGAATCATCTGAGGTTTCACTAAAAAGGATCCCTCTCAATTGATCCTCAATGATTACATACTTTACGAACCAAATACCTTTTTCGCCATGAGAAATGATTGAAACACCTCCATTAAAAAAAGAATTAGAGAACAGTTCAATACCGTGACATAATCATTTTCGGAATAATTTGGGATTCGAACCTAACACAACTTTGGGTCGGTCTCCTGAAGAGTTTTTCAACATCATTTTTACCCCCATCTTAATACTATGTTTACCTTTAAGCCCTAATTGTTCTGGAATTTCATTCATCAACCCCATTATCAGGAGATAATTTAATAATCTGTTACTTGTCATTGTGGGAGATCTGTAGAAATATGTACGACAAGATTTTTAAAATAGAACATGTCCTATTCCTTACATCTAGACTTAAGGTTTCTGAATTCAAGAAATAGTAGCCTTCACACATGAAGATTTGCTTGTACATCTTAGTTTTAATTGGTGTTGTACTTCAAAATCCTACCGTCTGTTGAGGCCTTAAGTCACAATGTTTCTTCACATCGAATAAAACTTATTTGAAACGCACTGTAGGAAAATAAAGAAACGAGCGTAAAGTTAAAAAAACCAATTTTCTTGGACTAATGCCTTACTTTATAATTATGTAAAAGTACTGCTAGTTTAGGAGACAACTTTTCCCCGGTATTCCACTGTCTTTAGGGTATACTATTTCAGGACGATGAAATCATTCTATATGTGAGAGAGCGCTTAATAATGATTGTCAATGCAAACGTTTACAAGGTAAGTTGCATTTTTTTTTAAATCATTTATGCTATCAGCATATTTGTATCAGTTGAAACGGGCACTGATAATATTTGTACCGTTATCATTGGAAACACTTGAGCTATTCTATTTAGATAAGATCATGTGATTTGGAGTTTATCTATGCAAATGAATAAATGTATAAATCTGAATATAAGATTTATCTTGTATTATACTAAATACATGTATGACATAAATAGTTAACATGAATATTATGCCTTAATTATGAGACACTTGATTCAAAAAACCTTACAAGACATTTAAAACAGAGAAAAAATTTAAGTCCTAAAAACGCAAAAAAACGACAAAATTAAAACTGTTTCTGGCTCGTTTTGTCTGAGACTTTTATAGATGTGTTCATACGTCGGATATCATGGAGCCTTCATTGTGACACATTATGACAGTCCATGACAAGCGGCGTATAGTACCCATGTTAAAGTATGCGTGTGCCCAAAACGAGAAATCTATTTGCGGAGTTATTTGTAAATAAAAGGATGTTTCATACCTGCTATACATAGTCCAAGAGATGCTCCGAACGTTGCAAAAGAAAGTCCAAAGCCAATCACAGCTAAGACTCCCCCTACCACACATCCTGATTGTCCGGCAACTTTGGAAATCTTTATATCTAGAATTGTATTATAAATGAAATAACTTCAGTTTGGTAAGTTTTAAACAAAAAACATATATACAGAAATAAGATGATTAATTTTAAAGTATCATATTATACTTGTAATGGGATATTACTCCTGGAACTATGACATATAAACTACGAAACAATATTAAAATTCCTAACATACACTGTTCTTGAAATGAAATATTTTGGAAAATGCAATACGCTCATGCTGCTAGCATCGATTTACGTTATACATGCACTTTTAAAGACCGGAATAGAAACGATGATTGCAAAGAACTAGTACTGAGCAATGGTTTCAACATTTTTGAATTCTAATTCAAAAAGTTTTTGCCTCGAACATATAATTCATTTCTGTTAAAAAGTCATTGACATTGTACCGAAAAGAAATTGAACAAACTGATTACTTTTGTATGCAGCATCTAGTTCGTCAGCGTAGCTCGAAAGAGATGTTGTAAATTGTAACAAAGAGGAATGAAAAAACTGTTTGAGATCAACACGCATGTCCTCTAAATCTCGAATGCAGTTTCTTTTTCTATTTCTTGCCATTACTGTATTTCAGATTTTCTATTTTCAACCTTGAATTGAAAAGATATTTATTAATATATCAAAATTTTCCATTTATAACATAAAATCATTTTAAATATAATATGAAGTGACATTTTGAGCATTTAAGTATTAATAGTAGGTGTGCACATCAAAGTAAAAATAACCTAAGTTTTTGTCATAATTGTTTGATTTTTGTTGTTTTCTTTTAAAATGTTATTTCATGTGTATAAGACAACCTCACATGACTCAAATAAGATTCTGTAAATATTTATGTGTAATATATCGAATAGTTCAATAGATAAAAGATTGGGGTATCTTTTTAGGCGGTTGCTATATATTATCTTTATCATTTTTACTATCAATTATTGGTCAGTGACAACATTATAAAATCCAATCTTTTAATAAAAAAAATGCAAAAATACAAACAAAGACAAACTAATGGGCCTTCTATATATGTTTTCACACGGAATCCATCTCTCCGCTTATTGCCCTACTGTTAAGTTTTGATACTCTACAACAATTATGCAATCAGGTCTTTTTGAGGAATACTTTACAGTTTGAATTCTTTTATTAAAAACTAAGATACATTTAAAAATAGTTCTTTTCCAATTAAAAGTGATATATTTGCCTACATTTAGTGCCGAAATTTCGAAGGGTGTTCAAAGTAATTGAATTTTTGGCATATTTTTTTCTTTTGCACGGGTTTTATACAAATGTTACTTGTTTCGTGTAGAGTCATCAATTAGATACCATTCTTGTATAAATCCATTCAGTCTAGCTTTGACAATACAACGAGAAACAGTGTTTACTTGTATAACTTATCATAATATGGTCGGGGGAAAAAATCAGTTTTCTTTCACCAAATACCCTCATATATTAGAACCGCTGTGTTCTTGGTATATGTGCTAAAGATATATTTCAAGAAATATGTTTCATTTATGGACATAATGCGATGTGCTTTGCATCAGTTACACAATGCTGTAAGACATTTGCAAGTGGTACAATAACATAAGAAGATACCCCTTGTGAGCACCGTAAAAAGAGGGCAACATCCCTTAATATCATTGCAAATGTCAAGGAAGTTGTATATTTTGATGCAAAATTTGCAGTCAGACAAACAGCTCGTACAGTAGACATCTCAAAAGGATCTCATATTATTCTAAAACGAAATTCCAAAATGAAAGAAAAAGGATACGATAAATATCCCAATTACTGACAGAAGAACAGAAACGACTCCCGGTAAAATCAGCCAATACATAACAATTTGGACACCTTTCGTATAAGAGTTATAAACCTTATAAAATTTAAAAGCAAATTAACTTACAGAGAGTCCTAAATCCTGATTAGGAGTAATTAACATTTAAAGAAAAGACCTTTTCATAGAATTCATAATTTAATAATCAAATTTTCATAAATTTCCATAGTTACTATTTATAGATTGGTTTTATCTGTAATCTAACTTAAACCACTTAATTCGTAGATAATATAAATGAAATATTTCATGCATTTCTTGCAACTTTGATCGCGGTGTACATGTACATGATGTAGTAACAATAAACAAACTCGTGCAGTGAATTTTGTGATTTTTTAAATTGTTAGCCACTTTTATCTCTAGCTAGATTTCATTAATTTATATAATATGCAATAAACTCAAAATATGCACTATCAGACTCAAACAAAATACCGTGATATATTAATTGAATTATACTGCATTTTTAAATTGTTTTATGCTTTAAAACGACTAAAACAATACCAGTAGATATACATGTAGATATACATTAGAACTAATATACCAATAAAATGCAGACATGTTTGCAATTCATTGATATAACGTTAAAAATAAAATAAAATTTTACTTCTTGAATTTGGTATCAGACAGTGTCATTGTACGACATTTGTTAGCCATATTTTTTCATTTGCACTCTGAGAAAGCATATGAATAAAAACAAATTTATCATCATCTTGTCACTATCTAACCATGAACAAATCAAACCGAACCTGCAACATTTAAAATTTTGTCACGTTAGTTTTTTTTAGGGACTATGTTTTTCTCTATTTCAATCCTCTAACAATAAAGTTACATAATAACTTAAACAGTAACAGTTTCAACATTGAACCCATCGAGAGCGTTTAGAAGTGTAAACGTGATGAAATGATTGTTTGTTTAAGAGAAACTTTGATGCCTTCATATGATATTTGAAATCTAAAGATACTAGAGCAAAATAGAGAAAAGTGCCTTGTGCAAAACATATGTAATTAGGGGAAGGTTTAAGCAATATTTTTAAGGATTCAGTTCTTTATTTCATAAGCATTTTGTTTTGTTGACTTTTGAAGATGTGCCCATAGAAAACACTTTTCTCTGTCGCCATTGTGTAAATAAATGACATTTGTCATGGTACACGATATCTCTTCGCGAGGGCAGAGTGAAATGCAAAAATATAACATATCTACCAATAAACTTCCTTGAGAAGATAAACTATCACAAAATCGTGCAGTGGAAACCCCCTTATGATAAAGTACTTGTAGTCATTCGATACTATTTTTAGATCACAATTTCCGACTGTAATTTAATATTATAAAGAAATAGGAATTCTAAACATTACCACATATATGGAACGTACAAGTAACCTATTTGCTCACATTTCTTTTTCATGGACATGTACATTAAAGTTGTTAATATAGTCGTTACATAACTAAGAAAACTAAGGAGAAAACTAAGGATTTCAGTATTATTTGTAATTATGTAAATAAAAGTATTATGTTACTCCAGTATTAATATGATAACGAATTATAAATAAATTACAGCCAAATAATATTTTCCACTATTCCAGCTTATCAATTATTTATAATTCGTTATCATATTAACACTGGAGTAACATTAGAATGGCAAATATAACTTTATGCCAGAAGTTATCAGGGGTGTGGACGGTCATTGTAGGTTTCGATACAACCCCCGTCCGACGTCCATGAAAAGGCTCAACTAAACCGAGATTGCATCACATTCAATTTTGCCGTTTTAGGCGTTCTTTAGGGATTACGTTTTTCTTTGTTTTTATCATCCGTTTTATCTGTGATGAAGGTTATAACAATTATGAAAATTCATATCTTAGAGTTTAGTAATTCTAAATGACAAATAATCTGTGCAGTGATTAATATACAAAAAACTTACTTAAATGTTAAGATAATTGATTGTCTGAACCACTCACTTTTCTGTATACATGGTATTTGTATATACATATATGTATTTTCACAGATGTGTATTCTGTATTATAAGTCTCAGGTATTTCGCATGTATTTCGAAAATGAGATGCGTTTAAACTTGTGAATATGTGATATATCGGTATAACTTTAAAATATAGTGTCCCGCATGTTTAGTATTATACTTCATGTTTCAAATGCAAAGGTCACCAGAAAGAATTTTGCATAAACCAATTCGTTTGTCAAAGAATAAGAATATTATAAGAGTAAAGGGTTCAAGAAAAGGGCTAAGCAAAAAGAAATTATTTTAAGTCCATCATAAAAGTGGTTAGTTTAAAATATAAACTGAAATTCGTAAAATAACCTGTAAATAATTCCAGACTTGTATGTAAGTGAACAATTTGATTTTTTTTGTAGTATTCAATATCAGACTATGCTAGGACGTTTTAATAATAACTCTTCATTGTATTTAATGCATTAAATATTTTCCAAATCTTACATTTTGATAGTTGTAAAATGGTATTGGAGCAAAAACATTTAAATGTGTTTCCGTCCATTAGACCTAACCTTGAATACACTTTCAATTTCGATATATCGTATGCATTTCGATTCATATGAGTATAACAGACTTCTTGTATTGACCGATTTTTTTGCATCCCTGCAATCCACTGAACCACCAGACAATATGACATTTTCATTATTAATGTGTCATTAACACAAAAGACTTGGTTCATGAAACAATATACATTAAATAATTGAAAAGTCTTCCAGACACCATGTTTGGCCCAAACCTGCTATTTTATTGAAAATAGATGTAAGATATTATAGATTTGAAAAAAAAAATTTGTTTATCCAATATTATAAAATTTCACCGTTACATTTTTTATTGCGTGTTTAACCTTAAATATGTATCAAACATGGTTATATCAAGGTAAAATTCAGTAGGAAATGGATTGTAATATGATTTAAAAATCCAACTGCTAAAGATTTCATGCAAGAGTCTATCATTTCATCAATGTCCTGTTCACTAGGACATCTATTCTGCAGCGTCGCAACAACTTTTCTTATTTTCTCTGATTCAGCATGAGCTTCCTTTCTGTGCAGCTTTATCGAATTCAAAGTTAGAATACCAATATCAGTGGGAAGAAAGACGGCAATTTCAACCCCACCAGCAAAATGTACATCCTTAGCTGTGTTTCCAAGTGTACGGAATACAAAAACATCAGTTGATGTTAAATCAGATGCAATGTCGACGGTATTGCCAAGTCGAATTGCGTTCAAAACAGTATTTGCAACCATTTGACAACCAAATCTAGAAAAAGATCGCCAAAGGCCTAGCATTAGCTTGTCCCAAAACGAACGCCAGCGATGAAAGTTAATTTCAATATTTCCGAACCTTTCTAACTGTGTTGATACATAATTGCTCTTCCTACATATATCGGTGAAAGATGTTTTACACTCTTGGAGTTGAGCAACTGCTTTTTTTTCTGGTTTCCTTTGATTTCATATAGTCAGCTATAGAAGCGTCACCAGCAACTACCCCACCTGCGCCTCCGATATATCCACCTTAAATACGAGGAAACATTGTATTTGATAAAACAATATTAAAATAAACTCACTGGAATGAATGTTAAATTATTTGTCATAATAATAGCATATTTGTAGTTCTTTGACTGCAATAAAGATAGTTATTCGCTATCATTGTATTAGTTGACAAAGATGCAACAGAAGCAAAACTTTGGTTCAGTTAATTTGCCAATGATATCTTTTTGGATACTATAATAACAGGTAAACAAAAATGAAAATTGAGGAATATAAATAAAACATGTGCCTTTAAGTGTCAGTGATATATCGCTAAAGATAGAATTTGTCAAAATGTTGTTTTATATTGAAACGTACCCGGGGTCTGCTAGCCCGGACACACTTCAATATCGACACGTGGGTTCTTCTCAAACACACGTAAATGGATAAGGGAAAAATAGGGACACAAGGACTAAAAGATACGGACACCTGAAATAAGATTAACTCAACTATTTATTAAATTTACATTTCACAAACAATAAAATTGGTATATAGTATCTTCTGTGGATGGCTCTGGCTTGGGCTCCTCGTCTTAGGTCAGGAATATTCTTCTGTTACGTCTAGAATAATGTATAGTATAAGATGTAATGAAAGGCTTGACAAATACGGTGTCACGTCTTGCCTGTGGTCTGGTACAAATTCTATGGTAGGAATTACCATGAAATGCTATAGGGTTGATGGGGTATCTAAAATGGTAACTACAAAATACAGTGATGTTCTACCCTGGTATATGGGTATCGCTATAAAATATGGTCTACAGTCAGGATCTATCATAAATGGAAAATAATGCCAAACTGCCAAACTAGATGATTTAATATAAAACTTCTATATAATCTATTACTGGCACAAAGTATTATATACCTTTCTGGTGGCTGGAGATACATCCATATTCAATAATGTATAGATGTGGTCTGGTGGCTATCTACCAAGGTACTGACAATTTTGGCAGATTCGGGCTGCTATTTATAGTCTGGGACGCTGGGTGGCTAGCTTGGCTAGGGTGCCTAGCTTGGCAGTATCGTCATCGTCTCCGATGACGTCACTGCCAATCTCGCGCGGGCAGAAATTTAGCCAGTGCCAGCTGCCATGTTTAAATTGGCAGCGTGTGGCTAATTGAACATTAAAACGGCTACAACGTAGAAAATAAGTTATTTTAAGTAATATAACCATCGTAAATATTAAAAGGATGAAGTTATCTGTACATGTAGTGTATGTTTTGATGATTAAAAGTTGATGTCATGAAGTACAGTTAATTACTTTAGTACTTGAGTAGTTTCCGGATACGGGTTTATTTTCGGACGTAAAATGATGGGCCTGATCGTTACATTGCACCCCGCTCACATGGATTCAGCCCCTGAATAGTAGGAAGGTAAGTATATTTACAGTCGGAAGGTTTATCATTTTACCTAAATAATGTCATTGGTAACACAACATTATGAGATAATTATATTATCGGGTAATTATCATTTGATAATTGGTTATTACACTAATTAGACAGAGGAGTTTAACTTAATTATTTGTCAAACTTGGTAGGTAACAGTTTAAGTCATAGACACATCATATTAATGCATATATTAATTATTATACATGCATAGTAATAATTAAAATTTGCTAAATATTTGCAAATTTTC